TTTAGCTTCATGCTTAGGTCTATGCGGGGGCTTATCTACATGAAGTAAGATCATGGGCTCCCCTACTAAACCCCGCCCCTCTAACAACTGCCCTAGGTTCCCCCTTCAGTAACGTTACTTAGACCTAATTTTCCCTACAGAACCGTAATTGTCGGGAATCTGGGCGGGGGAAGTATTGGGGTGCAGGGGGGCCCAAGCTTCTGCATCCATCTCATTATCAACGATTACAATATTTGGGTCGCTTTGATGGTCAGCTGTTTCATGTGTGTGTGTGTGTGTGGAGCTCTTTGTCTGTTTATGTTTCTTTTAATACCTTGCACTTACATCACATCCACGCTTACATCTCATGTTTTCAGTCTTGCCATAACAAATCAAGATTGTTTTGAATTCTAGCCAATCTGTTCATTTCATGTTTAACCTCAGTCCTGGTTTTTACATTCATCAACACCCTGTGGGTGTTCGCCATAATGGGCTATTCTTGCATTATGAAGCTCAGTATCCGTCATATTCATCTTTAAAACCCCGTAAGGATAGTTAATTGAATCATTTAGGCCATTCAGCATTTCGTGTCCGTCAACACCTAGTTGGCTGTGAAACTCAGTGTTTTCACAATCATAAAGGATATTACAACAAAACAACAACCTCATCTTATCATAGCCTAAGTCTTACCCATCACCTGCAAAGTGTCATGATATGCTGGAATGTTTTCGTTTTCGCTCGAACCTACAAAGTCTATTGCCGTTTTGTCTTTTGTCAGGTCCGTCTGAGAGCAGTAAGTTTTCCTGATGTGCAATATCATACATCGTGTTGTTACTATGCGTAATAGCCAACAGAAGATCAAGCTTTTCAAAACAGCTTACTCTTTGGTTTTTGACTGAGTTTTCATGAACATGCAATGGTTGTTCGTATTTATCCCTAAATGTAAACACGCTGAACAGTCTGTTCTAGCATTGTATGTTGGAAGTTCATATTATCAATGTTGTTTTTGTTAAATAGGCTACACCGTTGTTCTTCAAGAGTTGTTGCTCTTTTTCCCTGAGAATCAAAGATGTTCCTGGTTTGTAAGCTAATACCAGCTTTTACAATACTTAAACGATTGAATAATATCGGGTATCGTTTCAAGTACATCGTTGTTAAAGTCACTATTAATATCTGATGTCGCATCTTACGCATGTCGCGCGCGCCATGGTCTAGAATGGTCATTCTCCTACTATACTACAGAGCTCCGTTTACAAGGAAATCTTGACATGTTTCATCTTTTTGGTACATTTCAAAAGATGCCCAGAATACCTGATAACAACTTTCCAGGGGTTCTTTGTTGTTCTTGCTCTTACATGAAACTTCTTAACTAGCCGACCGTCATGCTCATATATAGTTCGTTGGGAAAGTCTTTGATCATTTTGGAAACATATTATGGACACCGTCTTTATGAAGGATATGTGCTGTTATTCCTTCATCATGTTTGATGCAGCTGATTTTGTGCTTGGCCCTGCTTCGGTCTTTATACATGAGTTTTTAGGACAAAAATGATTCTTACAAAAGCACATGTTCGTAAGTCGTCAACGTCAGAACTATGTTACTTCGTATTAATACTGATGTGGATAAGCCACATGAGCCTGACCATAAAACTAACAAAACTCGCCAGCAAGAACACTTTGCTTAAAGTCGAAAACAGAGGCAAATTACAAAACAAGGTGGCAACACAAGTCGTAAAACAAAGTGTAAAGTCGGTTCAAGTCTTAAACAAAACTAAAGCAGAAGCCCAATGTAAGCTCATGACGCAGAAGGCTAAGGAAAAGTCACTCAATAAATGCCTGACAAATCAATGCAATACAAAGCAAGAAATCAACACGTCAAAGGTGGCTAAGTTGGTTTATAAATATGGTTGAGGCAATTAGGACGAATACATGTGTTGTAGGTAGGAAAGCTGTGTGATCTGGTCTGGAAAATTACTTAAACTTGCATGCAATGAGAACGGGCAATTAAGCAGGAAATACGACTAGGGGGGCTAAATAGATGCTAGGAAATACGACTAGGGGGGCTAAATAGATGCTGTCAGTATTTGGGGGGCCTGTGGGGAGCGACATAGGCTCGAACCTAAATCACAAAGTCTGAGACTCTCACATTGCATCATGCTTACTTAGGTGTTGCAGCCATCGACTCCGGGCGTCTCAGGCTTTGTCGCGTCCCTGCGAGCGTCCCGGGTGACATACACATTATTTCGAATTAGGCGAAGTAGGCTTTCCATTGCCTATCAGATTTCGGAGAAGGTGCCCCACTGTGACTGAAACAGGTGTCCAACCTCCTCTTGTTAGGTGCCACCGAGCATAACCACCCATCCATTCTTAGAGGGGATGGGAGGAGGTATAGGCTCGAAGGGATTCTGGTCAGGCATAGGAATGCGAAACCGTGCTGGTGAGCATTATCCGTCAAGGATTACGAGGGACAACTCTACAAGGTTGAAGATTTTTCGGAGTTCTTGAATATGCCGGGTGGCGCCCAGAGGAGCAAGGCAGCTCGGGCCTTGGTTGCACATTGAAGGCAATATTTGCAGGGTTCAGGGTCCAGGAGTCTCAAATCGTTGTTGGTCCGCTTTTGAGAGAGAGAGGTAGTCGCAACCTCTCAGGGAACTGCTCTGTCTGTCGCTGTTAGCCCTCTTAGCCCGTGGGTAGTGCGCCCATTTTCCCAGACCGAAAATTGCCTCAAGTATGTGCGGGAAACGGGTTGCACTCAGATAACCCGCAACCACCAAGTACATGTTCGAGTAGGTCGTTTTGGAGGGCGCGCGACAAACACATCTCGACGTTCATCCAAGGCAGGGTCCTGAGTCCTGATGCTGCCGTCTCTGCGTCGGATTTTACACAAACTACAACCTGGCATAAACGCATACCTCTCTCTCTACCGAACAACATGCCCTCCAAAAGGTATCAAGATCCAGCGGATAGCAGTTGCACTTGCGCCCATCCAAACCCTTCGCAGCACCTATCCTGAATCAACCTCTGAGTCGTGCGAAGCCAGAGGACGCGGGGCCGCCCCAAGCCACGAAGACACGGGAATTGCCTCGATTTGTTCAACGTGAAACGCAAAGCCTACGCCGCTCGCCTTCATGGGGACACCTCGCACCCTTCCCTGCCGTAAACACTGATGTGAGAGCTTTCACCGTCATCGCAGCCGTTGCTTGCTTTGCTTGCTAGCGGAAGGACCTGGCGCACCTCGTGATCTGCACAACTCCCAAAGCCTGTTGCATGCATAGCTTGAATCCGTGATCAGGGCCCCGTTCTCGCAAATTGAACTTGTTGGCTCTTCAGTACTCGGGGAGTGCACTGCTAATGACTCCAAAGTGCCAAAGTCTCAAAGAAACAGCCGCTGTACCTTGGACGTGCATGTGTACTGTGGAGAAAAAGCTACATTGAAGGCTGCTACGCCATGCTGCGGTTTCATGAGCCCCTCACTTGAAAGGCAAAAAGTCCTTCATCAACAAGAGGCTGCAACGAGATCTTGTGAACCCGGCTCCTTCTAATCATAGCAACATTGCATGACAGCGGAAAGGCCCTTTGGAGGGAAGGCGACTACTCAAAATGCCTTACAGATGCCGAAGCTGCTCATCTCCATCGCAAGTACCTGCGTAGGATTTGGGGATTTTGGGTGTAGGCGTTTCAGGTTTGAGATTTGAGGGTTCATGTGTCCTAAAACTGTAGCTCCTTTGGGTCCCACGTAGGGTTCAGGTTCGGGATTTTCTGTTTGCGGTTTTCGGGCCATGGAGCCTTCGCATCCATCGCCCGGTGGACGATCTGCAAAGGAGGCGGTGGCAGCCTTCTTAAGCCGGCCATGACGTATGCGAGGTAGCCTTGAACCTTGGGCTTCGCTGCTGGAGGTGGGAGACACTCTGCATCACCTGCGCGGATTCCTGGATGCAGACATCCAAGGGCACACCCGGTAACAGGGGCGCTTCGTGATAGAGGTGCCTTCTTAAACTCAGGCTCCACTATGCCAAGCCTTTTCCACGGGATCCCAGGAGCAAGTCTTAGGATGAACGTAAACACACTGTGAAGGTGCGTGCCACATGACTGTCGATCGCACGCCGCTACGCCGGCAGAACAAGCAACCTTCAATGGTGACGTCAGCAAGTTTCACGATCTGACTCTCAACTTGGTCATGCCCACCCCTGCCCTGCTTACCAAACATCGGTATATTTACTTCGATCATCCCCACCCATGTTAATGATTTCTATCCTGCTAGCATACATGGGAAACAGAGCATACCAGCAAGAATAGCACGTACATTTTTAAAAAACAAAACCACAAAGCCCGAAGGCCTGCCAATAACGGACAAGCGACCATGCTACTGAACCCAAAGAGCCTGCAATGGTGACATAGTGGGGGAGTCTCAGAAGCCATGTGCATGCTGAGGTCTGCCCGTCACTGCTGCTTGTGGCACGGGAGAGGCAACCTGGGGACAATGACTCCAACACACTGGGAAGCTACACAAGGACCAAGACCCGCAGAACGGCTGACTGCGATCCAAACACGGCATCTTCTGCTGCAGGTTTGAAGGCTAGGCACGGCGAAACTCTCAGGCTGGGCCATGACGGCTCCGTGACTTTTCTGGTTTGCAGGAAGTGTCCTCATGGCGCTGGGACGACGACTACTTCAACAAGCCCCCAAGCTTTTGACAAGGCTTCAGCCGCCAGTACTGCAAAAAGAACCAGGACTTGTGCCGAGTGTCTTCTCCTAGCGACCCAGGTCTAATGAGTCTAATCAGCGCCGTCGGGGCCAAGACGCGGTCGGTCTCAACCCTGACACTGTACTGTATCAGGACAAGTTCGTATCTCCTTCGCTCGGGTGCTTCCAGTCGGGACGCCGTCTGCTTGACTTTGTTATACTTTTTTGGGGGGCTAGAGCCGTTTCAGAAATGCACCAGTAGCTTGACAAATACGACCAAATCACTTTCGGGTCTGATTCCTCAAATCTGCTGCGCAGCTTTGCGCAGCAAAGCAAGACTCACAGAGCTGCTTTGCAGGCCTGTTCCTTTTGCTCAGCCGGACCAACGAAGCTGTCATGGCCACAGGCACACATGTACTCAATGACAAGCCCAACTGGAGCATCGGGGAAGCGATCCTGCCATTCCTCCGTGCATTCAACTTTCACCGCAGCAGCAATGCAATCTCCCCAGGGCCCGGTAAGGTGGCCTGCCCCGTCTGTCCCAGGTACCACGCCGGCGAGCACATCCTTCCAGCTACCATCCGTGAATGCTGCATACATGTCTACCTGCGGGGTATCGCCGTCAAAGCTCTCGTAATCGTCATCCGAAGCATTGAAGCTGCTGATGTGACTCTTGTAGCCATCTGCCCTCGGCCTGTCCGGAATGGAGATCATGTCAATGGTCTCTGGTAGTGGGTTGGAGTTGAAGTGCCCCGGATCGTTGATGCGCGTCGTCATCTCTCGCACAAAATCGTTCCACGTGATTTCGCCAGTGCCACTCATGTCCCACTCATGAAAAGTGGCAACTAAATCTGGGCCGTCATCAGCCGGAGGGAAGCCGCAGGCATTCGTTAGTTCCCACAGGCCTGGAATGTCAAGATTTGGTGCACAGCTGGACATCGATCCATAATACAAGAAGGCGTTGCCCATGGCTTGTTGGTGCTCTTCAGTGGGGATGATGTTGTCACCCTTCTCACGACGCATCTGGCACAATCTGTTGAAGGTCGTCGTGAACTGTAGAATGGCCTGCTCCTTCGACTCCGGCGGAGAGATGCTGAGGCCGACCTCTTGACCAGAGAAGCGCTCGCACTTTCGATTGGCCAGCCGAAGAAGCGTGTCCTTGTAGTCGTTGTCCCCGCACTCCTCGGCAATCCAAGCCGGCAAGCCTCGAGGCTCCAACTCACTGAAGAATTCCTCGACCTCATCCATGCGCTCCTTTGCAATGCACATCCAATTGATCAAGAGGTTGTCTGAAGTTCCCAGCCCCTTCATAGAGGACAGAATCGCTTCGGCCCAAACCTTTGGGGCCGGCTTTACCAAGGCCAGCAGTGCTTGCTTGAAGTCCCCACTGGTGTCCCCTTCGATAGCGTCAAAAATGGTAGAGCCCGTGAGCCTCCTGTAAGCTTCGGCGAGCTCACGGCGCTGTCTCTCTGAGAGGTGCACCAGCAGTGTGATGAGGCCCGTCTCGTCTGTGCCCCACCCGACGATGCAGTCACGAACGGCAAACGCATGCCGTTCGGTGGGCTCGCGCAGGAGACCCAGCATGCAGGCCCGGAAGTTGGGCGTCATGAACATGCACTGGCCGCAGTCCCAGGTCTCACTGTCGATCCGGGTAAAGAGCTCTTCTCCAAACTTCTCCTCAAACTTGGCCTTGAGGGTATCGATCTGTTGGGGCGTTTTGCCCGCGACAATCTGAATGATGGCCTTCTCGTTCGTCCCGAAACCATCCATGGCCTTCTTGAGGTCTTCGCAGTCCTTGTCGTAGTCCAGCGAAGCTTTGGGGTGCGTGCATTTCAGCACGGCCACAAGGATGCTTTTAAGGTTCCCACTGGTCTCCGACTCAATGTGCTGAATCAAATCTCTGCCGAAAAGCCTTTCGTAAGCCTCTCTGATTACCGCCCGCTCCTTGAAGGTGGAGCATATGATGATGCGGACGAGCTGGTCTTCTGAGGTGCCCCATCCTGACATAGCACCATGAAGGGCTGTGGCACGGCTCTCAGCCCACGTCATGCTTTGATACTTCAACAACTTCTTGTAATTGAAGGAAGTTTCCGACTCAATGTGATTCACGAGCTTTCTCTCGTGTGTCTTCAAATACAAGCCTGGCTTGTTGTTGAGACACATGAAATCACTAGTCGTGACCTGAGTTTAACCGATACCTGCAGCAAACCCGAGATATCCATACATAACGCTGCTGCCATCAAAAAATCCAGAAACCGTGGATCTCATCGTAGAGGTTCTCGGGTAAAGTGCACACCAAGGCAGTCAGGGTGTACTCGTCAGTTCCCCAGCCGTGCATGGCATCCCAAAGTCCCTTCACGAAGAGCTCAACCTTGGCAGCTGCAAACATTGCAAAGCAAAGCTATGCAGGCCCTGCTCCAAGCAACGGGCAAGCAAGTCAGGGACAACATGGCGTGCTTCCACCAGTTGGTGAAAAAGAAGAAGGTCCCCTTCTCGTTGCATTTCTTCTCCACCTCTTCCTTCAACGACGCCCCATAGACAGCTTCATACAGCCCTGTGTGTCGCTGGATGGCTGTCGCTGGCATCGAGACCAGCACCTACAGTTTTCAAGCCACTAGCATGATGTTTGACTGGTCTGTGCATTCATTCCAGGTGATTTCTCCAGACTCGACGTCGTTGCTATGAACTATCCTTCTCATTATTGGTGCCGCTAAACGCTTGAACAATCCTTCTTGATCTGAATCTCAAGGGTCGTGCGAATGAGGATTGTTTTAGTCGTCTTACACAAAATCATCTGAGGTCGTCGTACCTCTTTCAAAGTCTCCACGCTGAAAAGGGCATCCTTGCAGCGCTGCGCCCAGTAGACTGGGGCGATGCTTATGGTCTCCTCACTGTTCCGACCAGCTAACCTGGACTTGGCTCACAGCTCCCGCACAAGGGATCCAGGAAACTGTTCGTTTGCAAGCTCCACTTGTGTTATCGAGCTGGAGATTGCTTTCACCTATACTATACCACCATAAAACATACTTCTGGTAAGTACCAAAAAGCATCATCAGAGTTTCCTTGTAATCACCAGTGCATTCCGACTCGATCCACTCCTCCAGCATCTGCCCATTTAGCTCGTGGAAGTGCTTCCGGACCTCCAGGAGGACATCAGGAGGCACGTAGGGAGTGTGCAAGATTTTGTATAATTACAGGGTCTGTGGGTGCTCGATATCGGAAGCTGGTTTCCATGCCTTTTGGCCGATTGTTTTATCCACAGCAACGGACCTCCATCATATCATCTTTAGCCAGGACCATAAAGTTGATGAGTAGCGAGTCGGAGGTTCCCAGTCCCCTCATTGCGCCGGTAAGTGCCTCAGCCCATACCTGTGGTGCCGGCTTGATTAGATCACAGAGTGCCTTCTCGTAGTCGCCGCTGGTGTCCGATCTGATGTCTTCGAAGATGTCCCGGCCAAACTCCAGACTGTATTCCTTGATAAGAGCGGCCTTCTTGAAATCCTCCAAATGCACCAAGCAAGTGATGAGACCTTCATCGTCCGTGCCCCAGCCTTTCATGCAGTCTCGGACAGAATGCGCGAGCTGCTTCATGGGGTGACGGATGCACCCCAGCAGCGTATCTTGGTAGTAGCCGCTGGTTTCGCTCTTTACCCACTCAAGCAAGTCTCGCTCATACAGCTCCTGAAACTTTTGGTTCACATCCTCCATTTGCTTGGCCGTCTTGCTGCAAATCATCTTTGTCAAGGCCATCTCGTCGGTCCCCCATCCTTCCATGGCTTCCTTCATGGCTGCGCAATCTGCTTCCAAGTCGAAGGCCGCCTCCTCCGCCTCCAACATGCAAAGCAGGGCCTTTTGAAAGTCGCCGGACGTTTCGGATTGGATGTGTTCCAGCAGATCTCGGTCGTACCTGCGCTGATAGGCTTCTTTGACCTCTCGACGCTCCCCGAAATTCAGTTGGCAGATCACCCGGATCAGCTGATCTTCAGCAGTTCCTAGGCCAGCCATGGCTTTGTTCAGGATTCTGGCGCGGCAGTCCTCCGGCGCCATGGCCTGCCATGTCATCACCTTCTGATAGCTGAACGACGTCTCGCTCTCAATATGCTCTAGCAAGCCCTTGCCAAAGGTCTCTTGGTACTGTTGAAAGATAGCCACGCGCAAGCGCTCGGGCAAGGTGCATACCAAGGCTGACCTGACTTTGCAATGAGAGCCAGCCCATTGGATGCAATATTCATCAAGACACTCTTTGGCACCCCGCACATACAGCCCTTAACGAACACCCATAAATGGCCCATAAATGCCTCGCAAAATCCGGCGAACTGCTGGCAAGGTCAGACGACAAAAAAAATGTGCAGGCGCGCTCATCCTTACTGATCCGCGAGCAAAGCGACAAGGAGTTCTCGTCGGTGCCCAGGCCCTGCATGGCATCGTTCAGGCAGCGAACCCAGAGGTCAACCTCGGGCTCCAGCAGGGCCTCGAGAGATTCTGAGCACCAGACTCATAGGGTCACAGGGTTACAGCGGTTACAGTACCACATGATTCACATGACAGCATGCAGTAGTGAGAAACTACGAGGGTCACAATAGTGACAAGAGCAAGTGTCAGGATGCCCCAGGTTTTCCAGGATCGCGGTAGTAATCAAAGCATGAGAGGGATCATTGTCGGTCTGCTCTGGTAATCACGACAGGCATTTAGAGGATAATGATCACGTGAAAATGGTCGTATCAATGGTAGGTCAATTGTGGGATTGTAGGGATGTGAAAGTTATTGCGGCAAATGTGTGAGCGATTGCACCATCTGGGAAGCATCAGGGTGATCATGGAACATGACAGTAGGGATGGATCATAACAAGAATCAAGGCAAGCATTGTCGGCTTCTTGAAAAAAGTTCAATATAACGCACAAAAGCCTTCGAAATCCTTAATCCTTTTTGTACTGATCCCGACTACTAGCTCTAGCTAATACCAATTTTCCTACGACAGTGCCTTCATGCAATTCTTCCAGTTACTGGAGAAGAGCCAGCCGTCCGACTCAGCTGCCTTCTCCACGATCCTCTCGCTTACCTACACTGGGCTCAGAGCCTCCACGAATGGAAGGATTTAGAGTTTAGAGATCGCACGGGACATATGTGAACCAAGAAGAAACTTGCCAAAGCTACAAATAATTACTCTTGAAACAGCCCAGTCGCATTGCCTGCTTTGAGGCTCTCGCTGTACTTGCCCACCATGCCCTGAACAGTCATGCTGTCGATGGTGCCCAGTACCTCAACAAGGCACCTCCCCTCATGCAAAGCGTCGAAGCACCTCTGCGCCACATTTCCGAGCACTTCTGCGTGGTTCAGTTCCTCTTCCGTCATGCCACCAGCATCAGCCCAAGAGGCGAAAGACGGAAATGGGATGTGCCCTGTGTGGGCCGGATCAGCCTTGACCATGATCCCATCCATCTCCTCCCGGCTGCGTCTCGTACTACACAATACAGAGGATGACTGAGGGAGGGGTTCCCCCGGCTACGATCCACTGTATCGCGGGGACATTATTTGTGACCTGATAAGTCTCCTCCAAAGACGGCTCCACGCCTCTAACAAGCCGCACCATTATGTCCATCTCACGTTTGCTGATGGAGCCATTGCCGTCCAGGTCGAAGGCTTGGAATTGGAATTTTCTCGCGACTTCCGTCGTGGACGAATCTAGCACAGCCTTCTTGAGAACTGTCAAGGTCTGGGGCTCCCGCCTCTGCCACCTCTTGGCATAGAGGTTGCTGTCCTCGAAGTAACGGTACTCCACGTAGTTGTGCAGCCAACTCTGGATGTATACGTTGTCCTTTTGACTTGGTATGACTTAAGCACGCGGGAACGTTGAAAGACAAACCTTCGAAATCTCGATCAGAACCCTGAGCAAATCAAACTCGGGGGAAAACGAGAACTCTGCTGCGAATGTCTGTTGCTATGGTGAAGTTCTCCGTGCATCAACTCTCATGACTCGATAATTATACAAAGTAATCAATTTGAGGAGTAGCCCGATGTCTCATCTCCATGGGCCGGCCCTGCTTGAAGAAACCCCAGAGCTGGCCCGATGCGTTGTCGTCCTTCCAGAGCTCTCTTTGGAAGCGGCCATGTCTCAGACTGTGCGGGGACTCTTTCTACGGGTAATGCGCTGACTAAAGATCGCTTTCAACACCCTCTGATAGCTCGAATGAATACAAGAATGCATACAATCGTCGCCATTGTTGCCTATTCGGAGCAAAACCTGTCTAGACTTCCTTTCCATTCTCTGTGCAAAGCATTGGGAACGTGAACACACCGGCCTTGTCTGTCAAGGCCAGGGGCTCGGTGTCGGTGGAAGCCTCAAGATACCTGACGCGAGCAGATTGCCCCTTTCCAGCTGGCCATCCAGAGAATCTGGACAGATTACTGTCAAGTAATCTGAATCCTTCCAGGGCTGCGTCTTATTCTAGGCATTGAAAAATCACGACAGTTCATATTCAGTTTTACTACAGGCGGCAACTTGACTTCACCGTTCGAACTCCGCATGAATCATAAGTATAATCACCCCACAGACCAAACAACTCTCAGAGGGCTTCTACCCCTGCGCCCTCAGGGGCTTTTTGGTCAAGTGCCCAAGCTACTTCCCCGTGTCCACATGCTCGAAGAAGACATCATCACCATCTTGGACCACCGAGTTGGCCCCATCTTTCCTGGATCAGTATGGCGAGTTTTGGATGCTCACACTCACATTATTCCGGACAAGGTCTGTAAATTCATTGAAGCTGTAGTCCCTGTAGCAGAGAATGTCGGTATCACACTTTCATCGCTGTCAGCTGAGGTATCCGTCAAATGCCAACGACAGTGAACATCCAGTTTTATGAACAAGGACCGATCCTGGAGCCTGCGTTCGTGCACGAATAGTTTTCGGAGCTTCTTAGGTCTTTCGATAGGGCTCGTGAGGCTTAATCCTTCTGTTCACGGATCCATCGTTGAATTGTTTGATGTCGGTTGGCTCAGTGCACTGTGCAGAGGAGCTGAGTGGGTGGCATCAACCGACAAGTCACCTGCCTTTTGTAGAGTCGTGCGCGACACTGCCATGCGGGAGCCAACCAACACCATAACAAGAATCCTTGACAACCAATCCAGCCGCTCAGACACGAAGCGAGTGAGTTTGTACAGTACACAGTAGCACTCAGTTGTTTCGACAGTGCAGGCCACACATAACTAAGCCCTGTACACCTTAGTCAGGCAGGCAGCTCAAGGCTCAGTTCAGCGACAACTCCTTTGTCACATCCAGACACACTAGGTATGCCATGTCGTAACATGTCACCGAAGTAATGGTGTGAGTTGGCTAAGTGTTTGTTCAACTTAGTTGTATACACTTTCCGCTTGCTGCGTGTATAGACACAAGGAATGTTTGTAAACAAGCGCTTCTCCAGAGGTCTTGTTGCTATGATGGCCCAACATCCAACACATGGTGCGCCCCACCCCCCCACCCCCCCCAACCACTACCACCATCAACACAACGTACAACCGCGGACTAGTTCACCATCATACCGGCACGCGCACCGCTGTTAAATAGAAACTAGTCACTAGCCGCGAGTCATACGTGCTGACCCACTGAACCTTCTGTTAATGGAGTTAACATAAGTATACACCGATACCTGCTTGGATAAGTTCATGAAATTTGCGGTGTGTTCTGCTGCAGTTCTACTATCCAAACGGTGAGCTTGTACCGCAGCAGAATGCTTCAAGGTGCATCTTCGATAGTTGCGCACAGGGGTGCTCAAGCTCGTTAACGAACTCGCTGTGCGGTTTAGCGACCGCAAGTACCTACTGGCTACACGGTAGTGTGGTTCAGGCCCATCCGCAGCGCACATGAACGGCACCAGGGGGCACTTCATGCCAAAATCCTGGCGTTTGAGTTGATTGCGTCAGTCGTGTGAACCTTCACGTGTTTGTTCTGCTTGTCCGTTTGGAAACACCTGCACGAGTTGTTCATTTTTCCTCCCACTTAGCTTGGACGAGCCCGCATTGCTCACGAGTTGATGAGCACGCGAGTGTTACAGAACTAACCGCTCAGCAGCAACGTGTAGCCGAAGGCTCCCGGCTTTCTAGTTAAACCATCAGGATGTTTCTGAATAGTACATCTTGTAAACGAGGACAAGAGCACTTACAGTTTGTCCCTGGCTGCTTTATATGTAAATCCGCTTACATTTGAATTTTGCTTCGGTGTGCAAAACAAGGAGACTTCAGTCTGTGCACACTGTGTTGATCTTTTGCGGTTCGAAGCAGAAGCACTACGTTACTGCTGCCAAAAATGTTGTAGCACCGTTGGGTTTGCGTTTTCATGCTTGTTTGTTGCTTCGGGGCTCCGGTGGTTTTGCCCTGGGGAAGCCTTAAAACTCTTAAAAAGGTCTGAATCTAAGGAAACTGTCGAGCTTGTTCTGCGTGTCCCAAGGCTTTTGTAAAACGTCCTGAAATCACAGGTTTTTACACTGCAAGAACCTGGGTTAAGTGTTCATCCTGCAAACTGGTGTGGTGCTCGTTGAAGAGTTATTTTGACTAGCGCGAGTAGGCCTTAAAATTACTTAGCATCCTTGCTTTGTGGCAATCCACACAAACACAAGCTCCTGCAACTTGCCGTGAGCCTGAAACCCGATACAAAAAAACTAAAACTAACCCCAAGCCCCATAGTCGACCGCTCTTTATTTACACCTCCTTGATAGCAGTCCCACTCACAGGCAAACGTCCTACACCAGCAAGCCTAACCTCAGTTCAGCCCATTACCGAGATCTGTGTAACACAACTAGTGAGACTACCTCCATAGCACAGCTGTCCCGAAGAAAACAAAACTAAAACATTCGCCACGAAATGCATGCAAGGAGGTCTTGCGGATAGGGCCAACCCAGTCGAGCACTGATGCCCTAGTTCCGCAGTCATTCCTGTTGATTCCATGCTTCAATTCTTGCTCCGTGCTCCTTGTTCGCCACTCACCTGCTGCCTGGCCAGCAAGAGTGGACAATGAATGTACAGAATTGGGAGACCATGCGTTATTATGCCCCATCAATTCCAGCAACACTCTCAACAACACCGCGCAAAGCTTGCTCGCAGGTTGCTCCACCCGGTTACGGCGGTGTGGTATGATCTCGCCACACGGGCAAAGCAGTCCGACTCACTCCCTACTGGTAGCGCGCCATTCTGATCTGAATTCACCATACCCCGGCATCGGCAACAACGCATGTGATGGAACTCATGTCTGTCATATAAGTTGTAGGGCACTCGACCCATAGCGCACCCATGGTGAGTCAAGTCCCATAAGAATTCGTCACTTTCGTGCAGTATGCAGTCGTGATGCAACCAAACTCATCACCAACATGCAATTACAAACAGCCGAGTGTTAGCAGTGCAAGCAAGGCCACACCACTAGCTCCATAGTGCACAACCCTACTGATCCAGTCTCCCAACGGGCTATTTCCGCAGAAGGAAGGCATGCATCCCAAGTCGAAGCCTCAGGGTTGATCGGGGTTGCCGGACTGACTAGGGCGAATATGGTACACCAAGCGGTGGACTTCGTTAAGTTCAAAGCCTACGATTTCCAGTAATGGCCCAGCTTCCGCCAAACGCGGAAGATGCAGGAGCCTCTGAACTCTTGACGATCCGCTTCAGTGGAGCCGCCGCCAAGCCATGCCCATGGCCATTTGGAGGGGATGGCCGGTGCCTGCACATTGCAGGTTCTTTCGCAACAAGCCCTAGAGTTGTCCCTTGAGGATTGCCATGCGATCCCTGTCGGAGTTCAGACGCCTCCGCCGCCACGGTTCCGTCCTCATTTCCTCCGGGGGGAAAGGGGTTACACCAGGATAGTATAGCAAGTAATTACCCCCTTTCCTTCGATTGCTGCTTGTGAGTAGGTGAAGATCAAATAGATGTGGTCGCCACCTTTGATCTGAGGCGCAACGGCAGCCTGGGCTGTACACAGGAGCTTAAAGTCAGCCGCAAAGGAATCGACAACGGTCGAGCAGCAGTGTCCCACCGCACAAACGGCAAGAATCCAGCATCCTTGGGTCGAACCGGATCGCCCTGCTGAGCTCGGAAATGAGGGTTGTAGGGAGGATCCGAGGAACTGCAGCAGCCCATTGCAAGGCGGAAGTGTCTCTGGGCAGTCTCTAATTGTCTGAGCCCTGCCTTGCCCTCATGCCTGTCACTCGGTACCCCCGCCTCCTATCTCGACCCCAAGCCATTGACTGTAAGCCCAAACCTTCGCAAGCGTGTGATGTTGTCTAGGTCCACGTAGCATGGAGAATCCCAACAAAACTTACGCATCAGCGCTACGTGGTGAACGTTCTGCTGGCTACCATTGCTGCTGCTGCCGCATATGCTGCAAATTCATGATTAATGGACTGACTCTATCTCTTGTAGGTCAAGAAACCCCCAAGTTCACAAATAGCGCCCTAGATGCCCTAGATGAGGACGGACAACGGGGCTCGGATCGGACCCCTGACTGCTTGGTTTGTTAGGAGACCGGAAAGCAAGATGGAAAATCATGTCGCTTAGTTGAGGCTAGGAACTCGCATACAGGTCCTACAAGAAGATACGTCGAATGCTGTGCCCTACAAGGTCAAAATGGAACTTCTGGTGACTGCACTTTCGGTCGTGGGCGGGGCCGGGCTGAGAGTTAAACCGTTCAGCCCGTAGGGCCCGTAGCGGCGTTTAAGCAGACTCAGCCGTGTGTAGGCCTGAAGGACTAGCCTACCTCCTTCCGATATCAAACCACTTGCTGCTACTTGTAGGCAGAACATGTACGGGAGTCCTGCTTACTATGGAATGAAGCATGTCATCAGACGGTATTTTTTCACCTGGACGTGTGCAAGCGGCATAAGTTGTCAACCCAGGGCCCGTGCCGCAGATTTGCAACATGTAACACATGTCAAAACGTTGGTGTATGAGTCGTGCGGCCTTGTCCTCCCGGCAGATTGCCAGCCCAACCGGAAACTAAGCAAAATCAGGAGCACATTCGACAAATGTCAAGCACCGATGACCCACTACCAGGCCCCTGAATGGTGCTGCAACTTCCATGTCGCCAAAGACAGCTGCCCATGAGGGGGCTGAAGCTGAGGCACAAATGCATAGTCAATCATGTAGGCTGGGGCTTCTCAAGTACATCTTTCATCTTGGCACCGAGAATGGGCCAACGGCGTCGTTGAGCCGATCGCATGCTGGCACATTGCCTCCGATCTGCCGAGGCAGATCGGCGCTGCGCGGCGCACGCGCCGCCTGCAGCGGGCATGCCTTTGGATGCGCTGGGACGCGTCCCAAGCGTGTGTGTCAGGCAAGGCGAAATGGTCTGCATCTGGGAAATGCCAGGCGCAGCGTTTGGAGAGCTGAAAGTCCCAGGATGCAAGGAGTCCTCGTGGCATTGCCGCGAAGGAGCGGCTCTGCAGGGCTCCACGTGGTCTCAGCGGTGCCACGAACTCGAGCTCCATGGCATCCAGGCGGTAGCGGGGAGGCGCCAGGGACTGGGCCAAGCTCCTTGGGAGAGCGGTAAGAACCTCCAGGGCCGTGAAGTCTATGCATCGTGGATCCAATGCTATCACGCAACGGACGTCCAGGCCACAGCAGGCCAGCTGAAGGGCTACACTCCGCACCAATGCCACGCCAAAGCTGTGCCCACAAAGGATCACTCGGGCCCTTGCTTGTGTCGCAAGAGAAATGAAGAGATGTTTGTAGGACAGAGCATAGCGTAGCGAGTCCTCCACCGGTGCGCACATTTCCACACCCCCAGCATAGAACTGGCCCAGGCCGAAGTAGACTGATGCCGGGCCCACCATGCGACCGCCACCTCCAAGAAACATCATCTGAGTCACTGCGGCTGCCGAGAAGAAGGCGCGATCCACGGCTCCTTGGGCTGAGAGGCTGAGCTAAGGCCTGTCCTCACAATTCTCAGACTCGGCGACTCGGCGACTCGTCGACCGCGACAGTTAATGGCTGCGGCTAAGGCAACCAGCGTGCGAGACAGCAGCACGTTCTGTTCCGCATACTTGTCGGTGCCGTATCGTGGGATACAAACGCGAGATTTCGAGCCGCCTGGGTGGGAGATTCGGAAGACTTTGCCTGGCAGTGCAGCAGCAGGAACGGCATTGACGCGGGCGACGGGCCACGATGGAGCAGTGCAAGAAGCCCGTGTGCGCACCCATTCGGCCAAATGCGAACTCGCCCCAGGTGTCCACCAGCTCGAGCAGTCGCAAGAAGCTGGAAGAACAGTGTTGAGAAGTGTGGCGCTCCTGCAGCATGCCAGGTGGCCCGAAATATGCAGCATGAAGTCCCCGAGGCTGCTTGCAGAGGTTTGTGCTCGGGGTGTAGGTAGCTGTCCGGATGGCGATGGCAGAATTCGCCAAGCAGACATTTAGGATTTCACCAAAGCCATCGCCCGGCCCCCTCTTGGCTCAGGCCTCCCTGGAATTAGAGGCGCCTCGAACAAAAGGAAAAAACTGTCTGGTCAGGCTGTTTACTGCTTGGCTCCTTCTTCTCGATCTTCAACTTACAGCTTTAGGAAGGCCCTACGAAGCCTCAAGGGCTCACGGACACCCCTGGAGGATCGCTGATCTTAACTCAAGGCCCCTGAAGCGGAGAAGCTGGCACTGCAATGCTTTGCTGCGATTTCGACTCAGACACTCGCACCAGGCAGGCATGGCTTCAAGGCGTCCGAGATTTAGAGAAAGGGAACTCCAGCAGAGATTTTGCAAGCCTGTCTTCTGCGAGGTCTCTTGACTCTTGGAGTTGAAGTCTTTGCTTCTGCTGCTGGGCACAGCGCCTGAGGTCATTGGACGCAGTCAGCACTTCTGGCTTCAGCCAGCCGCGTGTCCGACACTCCAGCACGAATAGGAGCTTGAAGAGCGGCTGCAACAGAAGCTGAGTCAGCGTGCTGGACACCTGCACAAACATGCCGTCAAGACTTTCAACGATTTTGGGCTCCAGTTCAGCAAGCTTTGCCACTTCTCAAGCTTTGCCGTGACGGCAGCTGTCAGCCTGATAGCACCCTGCTACACCCGGAAGCCGCTTTATCAGCGCTAGTCGAGCTTAGGCGGAGCCGAGGGCTGGGGCCACAAAGACGCTCCACCGGCTGCAGCTGTCTGCCGGCGAGAGGACTCCCACAAGAGGAGCAGAATTTGAAAGCCCAAGCTCTGCCCTTGAGAAGCACGGCCCCATTCTAAACCGCGGCCCTTCGTGGGCTTGCTAGGACTCCCTTGAAACTCCGGGCTCTCGGAGCCAACATGGAGGGAATGGAGGGAGCTTGGCATCCTGAGAGGCGTAGGCTAACTGGAGCTTCTCCGAAGGACCGAAAATATCGACACCCACCAAAAAAGGAGGAGGAGCAGACCAAAGTGGCGTCCAGCCTGGCCTTGGCGGCCTTGGCATGGCCCCCTTTCTCGAGCAGGGCGGGCATCCCTAGCGTGGCCTTGGCGCCCTTGGCCTGAAGGGCGTTCAACGCGGCATTTCCGAGTTGCTGCGCACGCCCAAGCCCAGTCCGACCTTTGGAAAGGCTTCCAACAAACGGAAATGGAGCAGGGGAAGCACATGCCGGGCTCCTACGTCATTGTTCAGACTAGTGGGGCACACGTTGCGCTTAAGCCTCGATTCACTGATTCATGATCCGGGCAATTTTGCCGGTACTTATAAGTTTTCGTCCAGCACCGACTTCCGCGACTAGGAAACAGGCTTCTAAGAACACAACATGCCCACTCAAGCAATGCGTGCGGAATTTCAGTCACATCTCGTGCATCGCCAGTGCCAACCTTGTGCTTTTCCTGTTTGACCGTGGCAAGCACACGGCCTGAACGCTGAAACTACTTTGCTACATCCTGAACCCTGACCTCGCATATCTACATGTGCAGTGCTGATCCCAGCTGTGGCGCAACTGAACGCGACCTGCGGCCGGAGCAAACAAGAGGCCACGAGGAGTAAAAGCTGCTGCTGCCTTGGATCTACACATAAGACCTCGGAGTGCAAGTGCCCCCCCCTCTGGCTGGGTGCTCTCAACTTCCGGCCGCTGGAAAAGACCCGCTGTACCGACATAGCAGCAAGCCGCTTGGAAGGCGCCCCCGCCGTTGCCTGCGGGCA